ATCTAAGAACAGCAGAGGTAAACTGAAACTTGATTAATTCTTTGAAAGCTTTTGTATTTTTACTGTAATTTTATATTACAGTATACATTTAAAGGAAGAAAAACTTGGTGATTTCATGATGTTTGGGCTTGTATTGAATTAGTTATGAATTTTACAAGTTAGTTCATGAAATCTGGAAAATTTTGATTGTTAGCCATGTCCATGTAATATGTTCTCTTGAAATAGAGATGTTATAATGTTCCTGTTGGACAATTAATGGCTATGATATTATTTGTGTTTGTGATTGTGAAAGAGGTTGAATACGCCACGGTACAGGCGAGGAGCAAATAGTATTGGTCTTACCATAGGGGGTAGGAGAGTGCCCAAGACTTACAGGGACCAAGTCTAGCTAACTTGTGTCGTAGGCAGTGGGAACTTTGCTAGCCTATCCTGACAGACACTAGAGCATACCAAAATTGGTTTAAGTGTGGACTGCTGGTAGTGATCATAAATGAAAATTGTGCACTTATGTTCTGTCTCCAATAAAGGGAGAAGATGTACCTATGACACTAGCCGAATTGCAGACACGGAACTCTCAATCTCAACCTGAAAACAAAATGTTGGATAATTAATTAATTACTCCATGGAGAATGCACGGACAAAATACATTGAATGATTGTTGCTTGATGCTTGAATGTTGTTTTGTTCATTTAAGCACAAGTATGAGGATGCCTGATATCATTGATTCCTGAATGATGTTTTGTTCATTTAAGCATATGTATTGCCTTGTATATTGTTTATGAAGGTTTGTACTCACCCCTCTTCTTTGTTTTGTATCTTTTGACAATGTTATGGATACATAATGACTCTCCTGTAGATGGACCAAAGGAGTAGGTGATGAGCTAACTAGGGAGTAGCTTAAGATTGTTGCAACTAATTACATGTTTAGTGATTTCTTTTTAAGAGTCACTATGTAGACCTTCGGTTCTTTTATGATGTAATTAATTGAATAACAAGAATAAATTTAGAAGGTTTGTAACCTATTGAGCACTATAATATTAGGCCAATGTATGATATTAGTGCTTTTGTGTAAAAGAGTTAGTTGATGCTTTAGCCATAATTGACTCTTATATATGTTATGAAAAAAAAAACTTGGGTATTTTCCTAAGAAGCATCAAAAAATAGAGATTGAACTATTGGAAGTAGGGATGTTCTACTTAACATAGCATTCAATCACATAATTTCACACATATATGTGTACCACTATAACACAAGCAAACATATTAATCTCAATATCAAATACATGTCTATAAACTCAAGAGAGTGAGGAATTCTCAAGAGCTTTCAACCACACGAAACATTGATAATTTCATCAAGTGTATTCTTATCCATTCCCTCAATTCCTAACTCGAGTCATATGAAAGTTCTCCCCTCACCTTAGAGAGTAACTCAGTTTGGTGAGGAAAGACGCTCCACTTCCAGCCTCATTTGGGTTGTACTCGCGTTTTCTTCAACAGGATCGATAATCATCCTTTCCTAGCAGTTCTTGCTATTAAGCCCATAACTTAGGCGTTTAGAATCAGAATGAAGCACAAGGTACTGACACATTTCTCATTCAAGGAAACAAACACAAAGCTCAGTAGAGGAGGTTTTTTAACTAAGTCAAATAAATTTTTTTGTTAGCTAAAAATAGTATCGGTACAAGGTGCTTAGTTCTGAGCAACTAGAATTTCAAGTTTTGGCACACTTGCTAAATGGAGGGTAATTGAGTCATATAGTGTCCAAATCGAGCTCAAGATAGCTCTCTAGAAAGGTAAAACTATCACGATTTAGAGAATGAGTTGCTGACTTATCATCATTCTTTGGGGAAGTAAATGGAATCCAATTCAAATTTGAGATAGCTTGTGAGAAAGCTTATATAACCTAGAATATAGGAACATGGTTAGGAAATTTTTTCCATATACATATTTTTCCAGAAATTGAGAAAAAGTTGTAGCCGCATGCAATTTTAGAAAAACATTTTCTGCAAAATTTCGCAATGGGCAGCTTGAGAGTTTTGGACCAAAAGTAGGGGAAATGACCTCCAAATTGAGTTTCGCAAAAAAAGATTTGAAAACTAACATCCTAAGGATTGTGGAGATGTTCTTAAAATAGTTTTCCAAGCACGTAGGAGGTACTAAATAACAATTTACATAAATGTGTTTCTGTTGTCATGGATTGTTTTAGTATATTTGAGATACTTGGCTCATGCTTGTCGTTGAAATATCAAATGGATTTTAAATTGTGCACAAGATGGCTTGATGAAAAGGTTATGTCACAAGGAACACAAGTATATGAATGCATGTCAATAAAATCATATGCAAGTGGTTCAAAAAGAAGACTTTTGCTACTGTTAGTAGAGAAAACGCAATTCTGAGACAGCTTCATTAAGAATTGCATATCTCATTAATTTTTTATTCAAATCAAGTCCAACCAATTTTTTTTGAAAGCTAATACATTGAGGTTGATAAAAGTGTGCTCATTCAAATTTTTGAAAATGCAGATTGGTTGCAGCACTCACATTAATGCTGAGTGTTTTGTTGATTTTTGAAATAAGACCTTCGCTTGTCTTGACATTTTGACTTAGCAAATGAGATCGAAAATGGGCTTAAGATAGCTTGTTAGAAAGATCTAATTACAATGATTTCATAAGTGTTTATGACTTTTCATAAAGTTGGATGAGAAGGGATTTAAAAACGTATTATTTTCACTATTTTCATAAAAAAAATTTAGAATCGGATGTAGCATGGTAAAAATAGTTTTTCTCCTTGATCTTTGCTCCAAATCTTACTCTGAAAGTGGTTATGGAAAGCTAATGAAGTGTATTATGTGAAGAAATAAGATCAAGTTAAAAGCAAGGAGGTTTAGCAAGTAAAATATGTAGAACAAATAGCATGCAAGGTGAAAAACGCAAACTTTCTCTATAGAGCTTTGAACTTTGCATGCATCTCACCATTTTACACATACTTTGATCAATTAGAGTCAAATCGATGAGTCTCAAAGTGTGTCGGAAAGCTAACACAAAAAGGAAAAAGATGGAAGGGTTACATATCAGTTTGTTTATATGAATTTTCCCCAAAAATTGAAGAACAGTGGTTGTTGGACTAGCAAAATTCTGGTTGGATCATACTTCTGGAATTAAGTGGTTGAGGTGTGAAATGGACTCTAAATTAAGCTTCAAATAGTGCGTCGAAAAGCTATCTTCATGTAGTTTATGAAAATCAAAATTTCAGATTGAAGGAGATCAGTACAGAGGGCATGAAAATTGATTCTTTACACTATTTTTACATAAAAAAGTAAGAATGAAGGTACTCACGTACTCTAGGTGATTGAGAGGGAAAACGATGTTAGGTTAAGACCCACAATATACCTTTGGAAAGGTATTTTTGCAAAGAATACAGAAGGATATTTGCATGTCAAGTTTGGAGACCAAAGAAGCAACAAAGTAGCTTCCTTTGCTACTGAAACATAAAACACAGAGTAAGGAAGAGATCTTACTGTTTTTATCACAACTTGTGAATTCGATGTCCATTTTGAGTAAAACCACTTGCGTTTGAAAGCTTTTCCACTGCACAATTCAAATATGCAGTTATTAGGTGCAGAAAAATGAGTTCAGAGGTTCAAAAATGTCTCACACAGTGGATGCAACGAGGAAGGTTTTAAGTTTTTTTATGGAGGAGGTGCAAGAACATCATCTCTTTGTTTTGATTGGTGAAAACACTAAGGAACAAGGATGAAAGAGTGTTTTTACCTTACTTGGATGTTCAAAGAGCAAGGGTGAGTGGTGGGGAAGAAGAAAGAGACCGTGAGAAAGATAAAAACCGTGAAAGAGATATTAAACTTAGAGACTTCCAACTCCAGACTAAGGACTAACCATTCTGCTATTGCACCACCTTTGCTAGTTTGTATAATATTTGCAACTCAAATATAATTATGAGATTTCTAAATAATGCAAAACATTGAGATTCATAAAAATAACCAAACACATATCGATGAATTATTTAAATGAAATAAGATAAATACTTTTATCTCAAAACTTATTTAAATAAAATCATAAAATATATTAAATTATCTTTAAGAAAAAAGAAAAAATCGCATTCATGGAAGGAGAAAAATGAGGATGTTATACCCCTTGTCTAGAAGTGAAACTAAAGAGGTGTTGGATTTCTGATTTACTTAAGAATGACTGAACAGTGAGTTATCTAGTAGACATCGATTATTCAATTCAATGTTAGCCTAAGACCTCGACTCACATGCATATGAAACGTAAAGTATAGCATAACAAAAGTTGTCTGCCAATAGACAATTTAACGGCTTCTTGACCGACTTCATTAGGGCAAATTTTAAAAATAAATTTTTGAAATAGATTAATCTAAAAGTAAATTATGAAGAAAAAAAGCCACAATAGGTCACAGAAAGCAAGGAAAACAGAAGTTTTTTTTTTTTTTTGAAATATATGCATTTTAGACAAAAATAAAATAAAATCGTTTAATGTTTCAAGAACTGCTGTGAATTTCATAGATTTTGACATGTGTTGCATAAACTTTGTCGAGTTTTACCCTCCTTAACTCGGATTAGTCGAGAATTAGGTCTCAAAGTGGCTTTTGGATGGTCTTAATGATAAGAAAAAGGAAAAAAGAAATTGCTCCTTAAACAAAACTACAATGACCCACCGTATGTATGGTCATGCTCGCCGTCAAGCCATCCAACAATAATTGTTTATGATGATGAAGACATATTATAAGACACGCACATGAACCTTTGACCCATCAATATATATGTGGAAGAAAGGATTTTCAAACATTCAAACAGCTATCGATTATATATAATATAATACATAGCTGTCAACATAAAGCTACAATTAAATAGCTAAATGTCAAATCTCAGGTCAAGGTTGGCCTGCTTGTACAAAAAGAAGAGATCCATACTAATATATGCATATATAAAACCCAAACCCAAACCATAAGCCAAAACAGAGATTCCATGGCCAAAACAACCCATATAGCTGTAATTTCAATCCCTGCATTCAGCCACCAAGCCTCTATTGTTGAGTTCTGCAAGAGACTCCTTCATCTCTATCAGCACTTCCATGTGACTTGCATCTTCCCAACTATTAATGCACCTGTTCCTGCCACACTCACTTTGCTTCAATCTCTTCCTTCCAACATAGACTACACATTCCTCCCACCTGTGAACAAACAAGACCTACCTCAAGATGTTCCTCCAGCAGTGCAAATACAACTTGCAGTGTCTCAGTCCATGCCATCATTCCGCCACGCGTTGCGGTCACTCTGTTCAACCTCGCCTCTAACTGCTTTAGTTGCTGATCCTTTTGCAAACGAGGCACTAGAAATAGCAAAAGAGTTCCACCTCTTCTCTTACATATACTTCCCTACTTCTGCCATGACGCTCTCACTGTTCTTGCATTTGCAAACTTTACATGAACAAGTTTCATGTGAATACAAAGATCATAAAGAAGCCATTCAAATTCCGGGTTGCATACCAATTCAAGGCCATGATCTCCCGGAGCATTTTCAAGATCGATCTAGTCTTGCTTATGAGCTTATTCTTCAACGCTGCAAGAGATTCCCACTTGCTGATGGTTTCTTGGTTAATAGCTTCTCTGAAATTGAAGACGGTACAGTAAATGTTTTGCAAGAACAGAGCGAAGGTAGCAGCAAAATCAATGCCCCTGTTTATTTGGTTGGACCAATTGTACAAACTGGGCCAAGTAGTGAATCAAATGAGTCAGAGTGTGTGAAATGGTTGGAAAAGCAAAGGCCCAACTCTGTTTTGTATGTGTCCTTTGGAAGTGGGGGCACTCTCTCTCAACAACAGCTTAATGAGCTAGCTTTGGGATTGGAGTTGAGCGGTCAGAAATTCTTGTGGGTTTTGAGAGCACCGAGTGATTCAGTGAATGCGGCTTACCTTGGTGTTGCAAATGATGACCCTTTACAGTTCTTACCAGATGGATTCTTAGAGAGAACAGAAGAACAAGGGTTGGTTGTTCCTTCTTGGGCACCGCAGACCCAAATCCTTAGCCACACTTCAACTGGTGGGTTTCTAACCCATTGTGGTTGGAATTCAACGCTTGAGAGCATTGTGTTGGGAGTGCCAATGATGACTTGGCCACTGTTTGCTGAACAGAAAATGAATGCTGTTTTGCTAACCGACGGCCTCAAAGTGGCATTAAGGCCCAAATTTAATAAAAATTGTATAGCAAACAGAGAGGAAATTGCTGAGGTGATTAAAGGTCTAATGCTGGCTGAAGAAGGAAATTGGATTCGCCAAAGAATTGAGAAGCTAAAAAATGCAGCTGCTGATGCATTTAAAGAAGATGGGTCTTCCACAAGGGCACTTTCCCAATTTGCCTCTCAGATGGAAAATTTTCAGGGCCTGCCTTAATGTAAATTGTTTGGATTTCTCTGAAGAATAAAAAAGGCAAGGAAGTATTAGAAATAAATATTGGTTGAATGGATGGAGTTTGATATTTCCATTTAGTGTTTTTTTCAATTGATTTGACATCCTTAAATATCCTTCTAAACTAGCGCAACCTCGCTTGAGTGATAAGATTCTCGCTTAAGCGAGACTACACATTTTTCTAATATTCTCGTTTGAGCGAAAACACTCTCGCTTGGGCGAGATACAATCTCGCATGAGCAAGCTCCACCTCGCCTAAGCAAGATTGGTTCCAGAGGGAACCCTATCTTTCCTGCAACCCCTCGCCTATTATAGACCTATTTAAACACTTGTATCAGAGGTGGTGTAACACCCTTAATTTTATTACTCTTGGATAGGAAAAATAGGAAAAATAGGAATTTGGATAAAGAATATCTCACTCAAGCGAGATTAATCTCGCTCAAGCAATGTAGGATTTCCTAAAATAGAACGTTCTGGAATCTATCGCTCAAGCAAGATGAGTCTCACTCAAGAGAGAATGAGATAACGTTGCCCCAACGGTCCTCTCGCCCAGGTGAGAGAGGGATCTCGCTTAAGCTAGGAGCAGCTCACCCAACGAGATAGAGCTCGCTCAAGCGAGGAGTCGTAGGAAAGATATGTGCTCTCTAGACTTAATCTCATTCAGGCGAGGTATAGCTCGCTCAAGTGAGATTGTATTTTGCTCAAGCAAGAGTGTTCCCGCTCAAGCAACAGTGTTCTCACTCAAGCGAGAATATCAGAAAAATGGGTAGTCTCGCTGTCTGGTTGTCTCACTCAGGCGAGGAAGGCTCGCCTAAGCGAGGATGGAAGCTCGCTCAAGTGAGAATCTTATCACTCAAGAGAGATCGCGTGAGTTTAGAATGATATTTACGAAATCTCAGCCTAAAAAATGTTCATTTCTCACCAAACGACCTTCTCTCTTCATTTTCTCTGTCTTCTCTCCTCCCTCTCTCTAAAGAGAACTCTCTAGAACTTCGAATCTCTTCCAGAACCAAGCTCAAACATTGATTTCATTCAAATCTAAGTAAATCTCTCGGAGCTTAGATATCTATTTATTTCTTTTCTTCCATTTTCTTCTTATATTAAGACATCTATCTTTAAATACTTAGGAAACTTCATCTTTTGGACGATATCTCAGTGGATGCCGTGGAACCTCTCCGTGGATCCTTCAGAAAAACTAGTTTTGAACAACTGTTACCAGGTAAGGGGAGTATTCTCGAGCTTTAGTTTTATATACATATATGGTGATCTTAGGAGAATGTGAATAACCTATAATTTTTATGAAATCATGTGGTAAAAATGTAATTTTGGTATAAAATATATGGGTTAGAATAGCTTTAATAAGTTTTAGAACTAAGTTCCTTATAATGCTGATGAGTTAAGTAATAAAGGATATAAAATAATGAATTGTAGGTTACAAGACTATATTGAAATTGTACGAGTTGAACTAAGTTTGAAGATGTCCGACCTTCGACATATTGTACTGATTGTATGGTGTGATATTTATGGTAATTTCTATGCTAGATTGGCCTATTATACTGATTGCATGGTGTGATATTGTATGATAACTTTTTATGTTAGACTGGCATGATGCGATAAGTATAGATATGATATTGATAGCTGAAATGTATTCAAATTGGGTAAATTCACATGAATAATTAAAGTATTGATTGATATTGAAAGTATGTGATGTATGATAGAGAAAGAATGAGATACATGATTATAATGCATGGGTCAAAATAACTTGAAAAAAAAAAGTAATTACGATACATATTATAGCACACTAAAGAATGTATTATAATATATATTATGATTCACGAATTTATATAAATTGTAACCCACATATTATGACATGCTAATTGATAGAAAGAATCTAGAAATGAGAAATGCTGAGAAAGAGAAAGAGAATAAATATGGATAGTACAGCGATACAAAAGGGGTATAGAGTCTGGAGAAGATTGGGAAAATCTTGGGAAAATGAGGATGGTGAATGCTAACGATAACGGGGTGCACGATAAATTATTAAAAAATAGATATTCACAGGTCATACCCTCATTTCCTAACGAAGCTCCTGACTATATGTAGACAATTGCCGAGTCACTATCAAAACAACTAAGTTTTTTAAAGATTTTGTAGTATAGAGCCAAACCAAGGTCAATTCACGAAGACACATTTTCAGTCAAATTCAATTTTAGATTTTCTTTTAAAAAATGCAAATAAGTTTTTTTGGGTTTTAAAAATTGCAATTAATCAAATTAAATTACAAACAGAATTAAAGTGAGTAAAAAATGAATTAAGAAATATCAATCCACAGAATATCAATTGCGTGTAACTCTGACTATCACAGTATCTAAAGATTTAAATCTACGTTTGAACAATCATCTAATTCAATTATTAATTCAATCGAATAACTTAATTGAATAGAGTTACTAATTAAATCAAATAAACATTTAACCTAATTCACATTAATTATCAAATTAGAGCATCAATCGAGTCCTAATTTGAAATCTAACAAAAGAAAAGTCAATCACGATCGTAATAAACAATTCTGAGATTGGAGAGAAAACGAGAACAAACTCAGAGCAGTTAGTGAAAAACTCAAGTCAGAACTACAACATTTGAATTCTTCAGATTGAACAAGAGATTTAGCCTTCCATTAAAACGCTTAACCCACGCAAGAATGAGAAAAGAACGAGATAGTTCGGCCTAGTCTCAAAAGCTCAAAGTGTCTAATCACTCTCAAATTTAGAACCTTATTAGTCTATTTATAGGTTCTGATTAGGGTAAATTAAGTGGCGAAAATGCGAGCCTCAATAATATCTAAAAGCCCAAATACAATTATTAAATAACAAGGGTATAAATGGAATCTCGCAACAATATTCAGCAAATCTGCCTCAACTTCAAAAAAATCATAAAAAATTGAAAACAACTCCAAATCCAGCGATCCATATATGTATTTTGAATTCCTAGATGTGTAGAATCTAATGCAACTAGAATAAGCCAAAAATGGTATCTATAGAAAAAGTTATGGTCAAAAGAGTAGTCAGATGTCATAATAACTGAAAATACGAAATTAAAGCTTTTATTTGTAATAGGCCCAATTTATTTAAATAAGTAGAAAATGGTAAAAATTATAAAAATAAAGCATATGAAAAGTGTTTATTAATCAAAATAAAATATTAAATATAAACATAAAATATGTTACATCAAATTCCCCCACACTTAGGATTTTGCCCTTCAGGGCAAATCACAAAATCAAACCATAGGGAACCTAAAACAAATTAGGCTATGTACGAAGGCCATCAAGTTGAAATATCATAGCTAGAATGGAAATCAATCCTCACGCTTCAAATTGACAAATGAACTTTATCAAATCAAGTGAATGAATCATGAGAGATAGAATCTTGACACGATATACTCTCAATCACTCAAGTGTATAAGGTAAAGTGTGTCACTCAAAATGCACAACATGAAGCATGATCATCCATAAGCTTGCCGATTGCCCATTTCTCTACTAGAATTCACACATACACACAAAAATCAAAAGGATTTTTCTAGGTTATAAAGGGGCATAATGAAGGTGGAAAAATTACAACGGTAATTAAGCTAAAACTAAAGAGGATATAAGAATAATGGAGAATGAATCCAAAGAAAGTAAGCATGAAAGTAAATCCCCTAAACAAAGATATAATGTAATACAATCCAAAAATAATTCTCTTTTACTTTTGCTAGCCATCCAATGTTTCTTTTCCTTCTTTTTTTTTCTCTTCTTCTTCTTCTTTTTTTTCTTAAAAAAAGTAGCTGATTTTTCTTTTCTCTTGCATTGTCTAAAGTAATCTCCCCCACACTTATTTCTATGACTATTCCCAAAATAATTCCAAAGCTCTTGTATCCCTAAAGTTGGATCATTTTATTATTTTATACCTTTGGCTTGAAATGAGTTAAGATCACAAGAAATAGGAAAATTAGGCTTAAGGGGCTTAAACAATGGAAATAATATAAGGTTGGCTTTTTGGCTAGTAGTTTGCAAGAAGGAAATGATGACTCTATCATGTTAATACAAGCATATGGAAATATAGTCTCAAAAAGGCTCAAGGCAAGTTCTAGTGTTATACAACCATGAGTACAATCACACAATGAAGGAAAGTAAAATGACATGATATTGTCATCTATATGGCTCAAAGCCTCACAAGGTATATATTCTATCCCAAATAATCAAACACATAAGATATCAAAGTCCACCTATCAAACTGAAGAATAATTCAATCAATCCATCAAAGCCTTGAAATAATCATTTAATTAGACTATGTACACACCAAAAACATAATACTCCCCCCATTTGAAATTAACATTGTCCTCAATGGAAAACACAATAAGCATAAGGACAATTCAAACAATCCAATAAGTGAGAGAGCTATAAATCAGGGTAGGTGGCCAATTCAAAAGTGGCCTTCTCTTGTTCATGTTCCCCCAACCTCTCATGAAAAACCTGGAGTCGATGCCTATTAACCTTGAAGCTCCTTTGCGATCCCATATCCTGAAGTTCAACAACATCATAAGGAAAAATGTTAATAACTAAAAAGGGACCATCCCACCTAGATCTCAATTTACCGGACATTAACTTAAGTCTAGAATTATATAAAAGGACTTTGTCACCAATGTGGAACTCTTTACGCCCTATTAGCTTATCATGAAAAGCCTTGGTGCGCTCTTTGTAAATGTTGGAGTTCTCATATGCTTCTTTACAAATTTCCTCCAACTCTTGTAATTGAAGCTTCCTATGCAAGCCTGTTGCCTCTACATCTAGGTTAAATTCTTTGATCGCCCAGAATGCCTTATGCTTCACTTCTACTGGTAGATGACATGCTTTACCAAAAATAACCCGATAAGGAGACATTCCAATAGGTGTTTTATAGGCGGTTCTGTAAGCCTATAGAGCTTCCTCCAAGTGTAGACTTCAATCCTTTCTGTTGGGTTGGACAGTCTTCTCCAGGATTTGCTTTATTTCCT